GCAGTGTCCCCATCCTTGGACATACTCAAACCCTGACTATGACATGACCTTGAGCAACCTGCTCTAGCTGATCCTGCTCTGATCGGTGGGTTTGGGCCAGGTGATAGCCAGAGATCCCTGACACTCTCAGCTGTTCTGAGATTCCTTGATATCATTCAGATAAAATGGAATAAAAAGTTTTTACCCACTTGTTATCAATAATAAAAATCACCATGATGGCTGCTGCAGGAAGAGGGCTGTTGCATTCAAATGATCTAAAATTCTCTCTGTTGCGTAACCTGCCAAAATTTTTTTTCACCTTGTCTCCAGAAAACCTTCAAACAGAAGTAGAATGAAGGAAACTAATTGCTCCATAAGAAAAATGGCTAAATTGAAGTGGCAGGTGGTGTTTTGTTACCATTTATATTCCTCACAGAAATGCTTAATATACTTAGGTCCTCAGGCAAAGTTAGCCTTGGACCTAGGTGGATGGATATCAGCAATTATACAATGGCCACAGAGAGACTGGCACTGTTGCTCTGCTCATTGTGATCTATAGTGAATATGACCTTCAGAGGTTGTTAATGCTTTTCTGCAGAGCTTGTTCTGTCGTGTGAAGGAGAAAGCTTAAACTGCGTGATATGGAAAGGGAGCATACATATATGTTTACCCATCACTGTATTTAGATATTTTTTAGATTTAATATTAATCTGTGAAAAATTTGAGATGGACAAGAAACATTAATAAAATAAACATTATTATTTGAGAAGCTTCAAAAGGTAAAGGTAGAAAAGAAAAATGAAAGAGCACAAAACTGGCACTATAAAAGTCCTGCTTCTTCAGATGGCCTTTTTTTTTGTCAAATTGTGGTAATTTTTTATTCTTTGGTCATCTGAATGGAGAAAATAAAAATAGGGACTGAATAGAACTCTTTGCACTGCTAGAGTGCTTTTGAATGGTTTTGTCTTAACTGTAATTAATGAATATGTAATGGAAATAATGAGCTAGAGTAAAAATTCAATATAAGTTTAATGAGAAGAATATTTTAAATGTAGGAGAAAGAACAAAAACATATGAACAAAGACCTATAATGATTTTTAATACCTACAGCTCCTCAAGCATATCTGTTTAAACATCAGCTGCAGTCACTACTACAGGGTAATGCAGACAAGAAAGGTTGGTGACTTTAAGAAAGTGATGAAAAAGCTATTACAGCTGATGGAGTATTGGGTCATAAAAATGTGCGCAGTAATATATTAGAAAATACCTGCAGGTTTCAGAAACCTGAACACAGGAACTGAAAAAAATAATAAAAATGTACAGGAACCTGAACACAGGAACTGAAGAAATTTATACAAAATATTTGTCCAGGATTTAATAATTGACTTTATTAGCATTACTCAATATATATAGTCATATAACCGACAGCAGATTCCAGTGTATTCCACTGTGTATTATAAAGTTTACTGTCTAAAAAAAATAATGTTATTAAATATCACTTTTGTTGCCTTCTTTTAGCTTGATACATAAGTTTAAAAAAATGTTTAATTAGAAACAGGCTCCTGTCTGGCTGTCTGATCTGACTAGTCTTGGGCTGTGTCTTGATTAGGAGCTGATGCTAAAATAGTAAATGAGGGTTTGATGACAAATTAGGAACTATCTGATTGGAATAATTCAGAAACTTCACAAAACTGTTGATCACCATACTCTTTCCCACATGCAAAATTCTTCTTAATTAGTACCTAAATCAAAGTTCCAACCAAACATTTTTTTACAAGTCAAAATATAAACTCATTTTTTCAGACTTGGATTCCAATATAATCCACTTTTCTATAATACCATAACTATAAACTAAAAGATTCCAAATTATTCCGGATTATTATGGACTACAAAACTCAGTGTTCAAATCAATAATCAGAGCACACATTATCACAGGCTACCCTAAATGACAGCGTCATCTATCAGCCTGTCAGACAAAAGTGGTCAGTAAAGACAGTTAACAGTTTTAATTATTGTGAGATGACCAATGAAAATATGCAGGTTAAATCTGCCTCTACAGTTACACAACTCTCGTTGTTGTTCTCAGGTGTGTTATAATTCCAAAACTGAAATATAACAATAGCTTTTTTTCTCCTCCTCTTAACCTTTAGGTGAAAATGCTGATTACATTATGTTTGTTTGAATGTATTAACGCTTCACTGAAATAATTATACATCAAAGAGATTTGAATTTGACATGTACTTGCTTTCAAATGCTGATAGTGATCATTAAACGTCTTGTATCACTAAGCTTCACAGACTATGCCTTGTTTTTTGGGACTTTTCATCTTCTGCACAGTAGATCTTCAATAACATATATTTCATTAAAATGTGTTTTTGCAGCAGCTCTTAATCTGTACATACGGTTAATAGAAGGAATTTTTAATACTTTGGAATCTTTATTAAATAAGTATGCTTCTGTAAGAGTAATTTAATCAAATTAAAAACATTTATGAGATTGTAACACTCAGAATGATACTTCTTGTCAGCAAATAGTTATGAATATCCTACTTTTTTGCTTCATCTTTTAGACTTGGCACTCATTCAGAACCCAGTTCTAAAGAGCTGTTGCAATATACAGATGTTTTCCAAGTAGAATCAAATTATTTGACTGCTCTGAATAATGACTGCTCACCAATGACAGCAAACATAGCATCAATAGACTGTGAATATGAGGAAGTTGAATTGGATAATTTGTTCAAAGATGAGAACAGACCAAGGGAAGGAGCTCATGAAGACTATTTCCACAGATACGCTGCCAAGTGAGTGGCTTTAACCTTTGGAATAAGGCTGAAGCATTTGTGACTTTCATACTGCATTAAGTTCCAGGAGCTGGAGTCCAGGTCCAATTGCAGCGAGAACTGTACCCAGCCACAAGTCCCACAGGAAGAAAATCAGCCTCCTGCTCAGTTTCAAATGGAAATGTCACTTGAGGTATTTATATCAACCAGCTTTTGGTTGTGTGGAGGAGCACTAAGAAAGCAACAAAGCTTGGAAAAGGTGGACTAGACAATAGCAGAACCACTAGTCAAGGGGAATTTCTTCTTCTCTGTAGAGGGGAAGATCTCTTTTGTTTTGAGACTTTTATAACAGATATGACTAAGTGGAGCAAATTTATTTTTTCTGGACTGGCAGAGTTGGCAAAAGTGATGCACAACATGCAGGTGGTACAAGCACTTTAGAGGAGAAATATGCTGTCGCAGAAAAAAAAAACAACAACTTATCTGCTGTTCTACTCATGCCCTTGTTTATTATTTAATCAGCATGCCTTTTTTTGTAGGATTTTTATCAGAATTCTAGAAAGAAAGCACAGTTCAAAGTATAAACATGTACTTATCATGTCAGATTATTCCTTTTTAAGATGTTTTACACAGTCCCTTTCCAGTGGCACTCAAACCATGGAAACTCACATGCTAGGTCCATTGATTTACACTTCCTTTCCCAAAATCACAACAGGCTTCCACATCTCCTCTTCAAACTCTATTATCGTTGTTTAAAGCATATTGTATGCAGAGGCAGAACTCAGTTCACTTGAAACTGATATTCCTGTCACCCCCACTCCTCTATAAACAGTAGATGGAGGGGAACTGCTCTGAATGACACAAGATGCTCCCTGAACACCTGGCTAAAAATTAATTTGAACACAACCCAAGTTTTGCAAAGATTTGAAATTTTTCTACCATCTTTTCATCTTCCATTTTTCATAATTTCCCATTCCAGAATCTGTCAAAACAATCAAGTAACAAAAGCTGCAAATACGAAAAATGAGGTTCCAGATCTTATTTTTATGAACTTTTAAATTCAACTTAGGCTATGTTTGGACAGGTATCAAATAATTTTTAAAATGCTTTACTGGTCTTGGATTAAAAAATGGTTTACATGTGGTGATCAGAGAAACCATAATCGAGATGATACAGTATAGAGGCTTCAGTCTCAGAATATTTGATATTATCAGCTTCTTTGTAATATCGTTGTGTCCTATCTTGTCAATATGTACTATACAACTCATACCTGTTAGTAAAATGTTGCATATAATGCTGTTCCACTCAGCCCCCCCTAAGATCTAATATGGCATGAAAAGTTACCCATTTTTCCTTCTCAGAGCAAAACAAATGGCATGAAATGAAAATAAAACTCACCTGAATGAAAAAGCTTTTGCTGCTAACGAGGACAGATGAACTCTACTGCTTTCATCAGTATTGCACAAATGAATAAAAAGGCCTTGCTTTTATCTTTTTGACTAATGCCATGCAAGTTAGTTAAAGTGGTTCATTCACTTACATTACCAGAAAGATAAGATTGGTCTGTGTGCTTCAATACCATGTGCAGGGTGACTAAACTGTTCTTGTGTACAGACATGCAATCTTGTGAAGTGCAATTACAGCTGGCATTTAACCCACAGTGCTTAGACAATGTTTAATGCACAAAGCTGGACAGAATTTATTTAATCAAACATATTCTGTTGAAAAGATGTACTGTTGAGTAATTACTCGTATAATTAAATCCTACAATGGAATCATATTTTTCTTCTCTGAATCTTTTCAAAGTTATTCTTAGACTTCCATTGTGATCAAGACGGAAATCTGCCTTACTAACATTATTTCAAATGAATAAGCACATGTGATAATTGATGTGGTCCTGTCTATTTCAACCTCTATGCTTTTGACACCCTCACACACTAAATTGGTAGTATTCCTACAGTGTAAACAAAGCGTTTTTGAAATTATTTACAGAAAATAGAGGAGAAAAAAAACCCCACCATAACTTCTTTTCATTTGTCTGCATCTCCAAATAATTTTAAGATATTTCATTTTGGTATTGTGGAAACAATAAAGCCACTACTGTCAGACATATCATCTTGACCAAACAATTACATGATACCCATGCTAACATGCATGTTCTTGTCACTTGCTGGATTTTCGTATCATAACACCGAATCAAACATGCAAACAGAATACTTAGTTTACTGAACAGGCTTCTGACCTCTTATTCTCCTTTAACACTTTGTCTCCTTTCTTCCAAGTGATAGTTGGCTTTGGAGAGGCTTGTGGCTTGCACTCAATGACAACTTCTTGGCCCTTGGTAATAATTATTGCTTTCCTCATTTGATTTAGTGGGAAAGTGGGAGCTGAAGCTATTGAAAAGAAATATGTTAACTCTACAGAGAACAATCACAGCTTCCTGTTTCATTACATTCTAATAGGTTAGAATAACAGATTTAGGTTTGGGGATAGAATATCCATTTTTGGCTTGGAAATTATTACACTAAAAATTAGATGGAATTTTACAAAATATTTTAAATCAGCAGCCAAAACCAGATGGAAGGTCTATAATGTAGTCCGGTTGATAGCGTGAGGCCCTTCACATCAGCATACTAAAGTGAGATTGTTTTTGAAATCCAGCAGCTTTAGGAATTAAATACTACAGTTGATTTAGCTACACCTTTTCTAATTTTTTTGGATTTCATAGATAACTTGTTAGAAGTAACTAATTCAAAATGAAAAGAAGCTTAAATTCCACAACTATCCAAAATGTACTCTTTAGAATTAATTCTTACAAAAAGTATTACTGTTTGAAATTTTTTTTGCTCTCCCTTTATATATTTGTATGAATACTAGAAATTGAAAAGTAAGAAACGCTTAATACAATATATTTATCCACGTCTTGTTCTTAGTATTTCACTTTTCAGAAGTCCCAATGATTACAATATATCAGGTAAGGTAATAAATGTATCACAAAATGACACTAATTACTATAATTTCACTCCATGAAAGGACAGTAATCTCATTTCTTTGTGTTTTACTTAAACTAATTTATCAAAATCAAAGACCCCCTTCAGACACACAGATAGGAATATATTACACTGCATTGCCTCAAATAGGTAGGAATTTCCTGCCATAATTTTGGGTAATTTTCATACCAGAGCTATTTATATGGACAATTTATTCTGTTCTTTTCTCTTTAATAATCCAGAAAATTAAACACAACTGCTTCTTTAATGCAACTTTATGGTTAAAATTTAACAGGGGTACAATTTCACAAGTGCCAAAATGAAAGGCTGATTTTATTGCAGCAGTATATAATGGCCATTTCCGATATTAGAGTGTATCAAAGAAAGTGTACAGCTACCTGATATAATAGGTATATCTATTTTATAATAGATATTAAAAACAGAGCAAGAGAACTTGGTAACCAACAGGGATCTCTGCTGACTGAATTGCAAATTACAAAAAAAAGTGGTGTAAAGAGAGCAACCACTGACTCTCAGCTTTAATTTATGGCTAGACAGAAATATTTTAAAGAGTTACCAGTGAAATTCTAATTCTGTCCAGCTAGGAAACAATGAATTACCATTGTATTACTTTGACAAATGCCTGTCTTCCAGCTATACCATACTCTAATAAGGATGATGAGAGTCTTAAAGTCTCACTTAACCCCGTGGAAGTCCTCTTATCACTATCATCCCATTATATGTTACCACAGTTTGCTTTAAGGAAAACTAGAGTGTTGAAAAGATATGCTTCAAGTTTTTTTCATTAATTCTCCACTTCAACTTTTGAATAATGAAATGTTTATTATATTTCCAGGTACCACCATGAAGTGTTTATGCTTTACTATGAATAATTAGCCCAAGTATGTAATTTCATTCAGTTCTGGTTACTTCATATGAAATTTTTACACCTTTAAAACTAAGATCATACTTAAATACCTTTGAATAATGGCCTTTGTAGAAATAATACTTTAATTTTAACGGAGACTAAAATATATTTACTTTCTCTTAAGTTTCTTCTCTTGCACGTATTTTTGAGGGAGTAGAAAATATTTTTCCATTACTTTAAACTGAAAGAGCCTTATATGAGAAATAGTCACAAAATGTAATTGAGTCAGAAATTTATGAAATAAATTTTTGGTTAACAGAAAGGTCTTTGGAACAAAGGACCCACTCACACATCAGTAACAAGAATAAAAAAAACCTGCTTTTATCTGCTCTGCTAAGTTCAGATAAACAGAAGATGTTACTTATCATACAGACCAAGAACAAATATCAAATGGAAAAAAAAAGGAACAGTCTGTTCTTTTTCACTAATACTTACCTAAAATCTTCAGCTCGGCACTGGCATAAATGGTGCCGTACTTATTTTCTGCTAAGCACTGATACATTCCAGCATCTGAGAGATTCACACTGTGGATCATCAGAACACCATTAACCATCTCAATCCTGCTCTGTAATGGAATTAAAAAAAAAAATTCCATAAAAGCAAAGAGGAACTGGATTTTTGCATGCTATTAGCTCAAAGCAAAAGGACAAAAGATATTATTAAGCTAAAATAAAACTGAATAACAGATTTCCATAGACACTTTTTCTTGTTGTATAAGGAATGGCAAGATTATATAATCTTATATAATTGGGGGGGGGGGGGGGGGGGAAAGAATAAAGGTAAATAGTTTCAATGCAATTTCAATATCTCCAAGGCTTGTTTTTGTCTGTTTGCTTGTTTGTCTGCTATTATCCTTACATGATCTTTCAAAGCAGTTCATCCTGGGAACTTTAACGAGGCAAGAAGTCAGTTGTGGGTGTAACATATGTGATGATCTTCACATCTCTAGCAAATGTTTGGTTTCAGTCATGGTACTATTTTCATAACAGTAGATATAAAAGATTGCTTTCATGAGTGAGAGAGAAAGGGTCTAATCGCCTTCAACATTAGTGCAAATTTCTTATTTGAAAGGTCCACTAATAGAAAATAATTACCACAGCTGAAGAGATGGGGCACTAATAGCTGTTTATGGAAATAAGCACTTCATGGAGCTGTACAATGAATAATGTGAACTGCTATAAAAAATCTCTAGGTTTCATTATTACAGTTGTTCTAGGTTTAATTAAAAATTGATAAAGAATAGTGTGTTTGGTAATGCAGAGGCAACTGTGAAAAAAGTTCTCTCTGTCGTAACCATGCAGTTTAAACTGAAATTTAATTTAAAATTTCAGAGCCTGGTGCAACTAATGGTTTGGAAAATCAGAAAACCAAAAAGTACAGATATTTAAATTGCTTCAATTTCAGGACTAATAGCTCCATCTAAAAAGGCATAAATAGATTAAGTAAAGGTATATAACCTTATTTTCAATGCCTCACAGCTTCAAAAGTAAACTGTGTTTATGTTTCCTTTCTTGTTGTGTGCATAATAGGTTGATGTTCAGATAGAAATGACATTCACTGAAAAGAATGACATTACATCTTCTATATTCATAACTATATTCTGTGAATTCATTTACAAATGGAGATATTTTCTCCTAGAATTAAACAGCTTTATTTTAATCTGGAAAAATGCATGAAATAAATTTAAAAACTTTTCTTTAGTCTAAATAATTTGAGACTATAAAAATGGAAACGTACTAGGCAAAACCCCACATGATGTGGGTGTACATGTTGATGATTCAGTGAGAGAAACAGAACAAAGGGAAATAAAAGGCAGGCCATTCCATGTGTGGGCTCTTAAAAGGAAAAGAGAATTTTATCTAGATCTAACTCTAACATATATGTGACTGTAGTTAAAGACTTTACATTCTAAGAGTCTTACATGGAGCATTTTAATGGTCTTGACAGTGAGTTCTGTTACTTGCAGAGAATTAATGGAGTGGAAAACTGATGAAAATATAGTCATTGTACATCTTACATTAGTTTTCTAGTGTTTTGAAGAGTATGATTATGTACAAACAAAATATGGTAAAGAACAGAATGGAAGAGGACATTGATTCAAAGAATTTGATTCAGCAGATACACTTCTCTGAGACATTACTATCTTTTTATACAGAATAAGAAAAAAAAGACACCAACGGCATAGTACTGCTAGCTAAAAGGAACAAAAAAAAGGCAAGCGTACTGGAGATTGCTTAGATGTACATTATAGTACAATAGCAAATGCTGTTGCAGACAACTCAGAAGGTCTCATCTCCCAAATATTTCTGGACTATAAAGAATTACTGATGAATGAAATTTTACATTGCTTGATATGGTTCAGAGGGGACACGCATAGAAAACCTGTCTGTGAACTAAAACTTAAAAAAGCTAACATAGAAAGTAGTAATTTCTGAAGTACTTTTCACTACTAGCTTTAACTGACTTAGAATGAAAGAAGAAACATGCAACATACTGGTGACTCCTTGTCTAATGTACCTGTGGCCAGAGAGGAACTCCATTTTTCAGCCAACGATATGTGGGCCTTGGCTTTCCAGTGGCTTTACATTCCCATCGGAGCTGATCTCCACTGTCTAATTGACTATCATTAAGCTTCTCGACCCAATGTGGGTAGGCTACAAGACAAAAATACCATGCTGTGTACAATGTGTATAAACTTTGCTCATATTCAAAGACCTCATCAATTAAAGAGCTTAAATTATGGCCTTTACAAATCTTAGCTTACTCTCAAAAAGAAGCACATTTAAACAAGAAACCAAAAGAGAAAGTAAAATTAACAAAATTCCATAAAATTGAAGGTAATGCTGTAATGGCATCAGGCAGTGCACGGTATGAAGACCAGGAATAGAAATCTGCCTGATTTATTAAAGTCCAATGTATTAAATTGCAATAGCATATATTAATGCATTAATTATTATTGAATTTAAGAGCATTTTCTAGGTAGTTACAATAGAATATTTAGTAATTTTTCAAGACCTAAGATATTTAAATTTGTTAAGGATATCAATCATCATAGACTGTTTCATGTAGTTTTCTCGGTTTGTTATGAAATCATGATTTATTCAGTTAGGAATGACTGGGTTTTTGGTAAGGTATTTGCACATATTTTTGTTAAAGTATCTTGAGTTTAATTAATATTTTATGTTTTTGAGCACAAAATCTACAAGATTTACAGGATTCATCAGGAACATAAATTACACAGTAAGTCTATGTTTAAACGGTCTTTTTTTAAGATAACAGCAGTTAGGTATATATGTTTCATGTAATTGTTGGTTTCATGTAATTGTTGGTTTCATGTAATTACCCATTGAAAAGCAGGGAATATTTTTTGCAGAGAAGCAGATCTTTAATGTAGCAGTTGATGAGGTAGCTACATGTAGGATCTTGTACTTTTGAAAATTTTGTATGACTTAGTGAGGAAGTATGCAGAAATAAATGTCTTATTAAACACCAGCTTGTATAGCAAAGAGGATGATAGATGAAATTAATTAATTTAATGATATTACTTTTTTTTTTAATTGTAGAGAATAAGTAGCTAAAAGATCTTAATTTCTAAAGGAATTTAAAATTCTTATGTTTGGTATGGACAGATGTCCAGATCTGTCATAACAAAGTCCCTGCTTCAAACATCGGATTATTGATAACGTACTTAAACATGGGGAACTGCGTTTAAAAATAAATCTTTGAATCTAGCTGGCATTTGACAGGTCACCAATCAAAGAGGTGAGAAGATATGAAAAGGCATGACAGGTGACTAACTGCTTCTAGCTTACATCTCATGCATGGATGATAAAGAAAGTGAATGAGGTGTCTATCATTCCTAAGCAGAGAATAGTCTGATTCAGAGTCCCTGACCAGAAAGTTGTCAGAAGCTGGAAACATTATGAGAAGAAGAATCACTCATTTCCTTTTTAGCAGAGGAAAAGCGAGATAAGATTGATCCAACCTCTCTCCCAAATCCAAGACCAAAAATCTCTGCACTCTTATTCTGCTTATTACAGTCAAGGCAATGCATGACATGCTCCATATGTGCTCTGCAGTGCTGAATTACTTCATTCTTAAGCTATACTAAAGTGTCAATGAAATCCTCAGAAGCAGTTTGCAGGAGTCCCTGCTCAATTGTTTTCTACTAATTGTCCTAAAAATATAATTCAATTGCACTGTATAGTTGATGCTGTTGCTTTTTTTTTTATTATTATTATTATTTTGGTATTCAGAAAGGAAGCATGCTGAGTAGCACTTTTTTCCTTTGAAAATGAGTACACTAACATAATCTTGAAAGATGTGACAGTTAAATGTATAACTAAAAATTCATACAAGTTAGCTAATGGTGCCATAAATTCATGCAGTTTCAAAGAGGTGCTAAACTGTTCCTATTTATATTTCATTCCTCTTATTACATTGCTTTTCTGAAAGTTCTACTATATGAACCAAAGCATTTCTAGTCACATTGTTCTGTGTTGGATTTGATCCCTTCATAAACCAGAGTGTTCAGAATTAGAGTGTGCATCTGCTTAAACTGAAATAAAACTGTCTCCCCAAGCCTGACTGCAGTGGTCATCTCCTCAGCATACCACTGCCTTTCCCCGCTGCCTGCGGCTGTCTTGATAGCATAGTCCTGCCATGGGTCTTCCTCTGTAACCACAAACCTTCAAATCACAGTGGTGTGATGAATTAATCTTTTTTTCATTAGTTGGGCTATTCCTACCTGTGCTGGTTTTAGTAGGGGCAGACTTAATTTCTTCACAGTAGCTGGTATGAGGCTGCATTTGGTGCTTCTGATCCTGCAGCTGTGTGCCCAACTTCCCTACTACAAGCAGCAGGAACACAGTTCAGACAGCTATCCCAAACTGACCAAAGGGGTATTCCATTCCATAGAACATCATGCTCAGTATATAAACCAGGGCTGGGCCAGGGGGATATAGCTGTTGTTAGCTGGTGATTCCGTTGGCTTTCCCGGTCGTCCTGGTGGTTGTGGGACTCACTCAGACTTCGCTGCAATCGCTCTCGGGCTCCAGCTCTCAGGCTCTCTGGCTCTGACACTTGCTATTTGGAACATGGCTGTGTATCGGTCAGTGGGTGGTAAGCTATTGTATCAAATGTTTTATTTTCATTACATGTTTCTAGTAGTATTGATAATATTATTAGTATCACTATAATATTCCTTTATATTCAATTATGAAATAGTTCTTATCTCAATCCATGAGCTTCCTGGTCTTTTACTTCAATTCTGCTCCTCCACTGGAGGATGGGGGGACGTGAGCGAGCAGCTGTGTGGTACTTAATTGCTAGCTGGTATTAAACCATGACACTACCCTAAACTTTCTCCTCATAGCCTAAATGGCCTTTGGATTCATAATTTTCAAGCTATTGAACTTGCTGTCAGCCAAGGCAATGACTCAGATTCCCATCCCTTTGAGAACAAGGTAGTAAAGCAATAGGTAGATGAAGCAGGAAGAGAGCTAAATGCATGATTGAGAGAAATTAATCTTTTTTTTGGCTTCCTTTCTTGTCTGTATGTACTCATTTTGTCACAATTCCCCCTCTGCTCATTATTAAGGGTTACTCTTCATAATATCATAACACTTGTTCTTAAACCCTGTCAATAATTGTAAAATTGAAAATTTTGACTGTATCTACAACCTCTGATTTAATGAATTTTTTCTCTTTTGTTAATAAAAGAGATGTGTTAACATCATCCTGATATACATGTGGGCAAAGAAAACTTTATTCCATATTTGCACTTAATTTTAATTAGAAAACATAAATTCTAAGAAGCATTTGAACAGATTTCAAAAGTAACAGTTTCTTTTTTTGCTTTTATAAATGCAACATTCATCTTGGGGAAAAATGGCTATCTGCCTGGTTTTTATCTGTCCAGTGAAGAGTTTTGGGGTGTATGTAAGAATAAAAGAATTTGGTTTATTATTTAGTAGTCTTTATGGATATTGTGCTATAACTTTATACAGTGCTCCTGAGATTTTAAAATCACCATCCAATTCCTGATTTATTTTATGCTGCATTTCTGCACCTGTTTATTCAAGGATGTCAAAATGTTTTACAAACACAAATTGGCAATAAATCTGCAAGCTTACAAGCCAGTAATATCCTCTGTGCAAAATGAAATTTAGATGCAGAAAACTCAGCCTACTTTCTCAAATTATTAAGCAACTTTTTGACTGAAAGAAAATTAAGGACAAAACTTTGCACAAACAAATTACTTCAGATAGTGTCCCAAAATGTGAATGAGTAAAGATTTTGGGGTAAAAGCATTTAATTTTCTGGACGTGATGCCTATTCAGAACTATATAGTAGGAGAAGAATAGGTAGCTATCACAGTGAGAAAGATAAGACTGCAAATTTAAACTGAAGGTGCAATTCTGACCACAAAAATCTCTTCATCTTTAGACAGGTTTAGTGCATGGGGTGAACCTATAGTGGCAGCAGTGGATTTTCTTCCATAAAATATTTATAAGGAAAAGACTACAACAGTTTTTTAAATTCAGGATGGTCTGTTAAACTGCATTACAGAATATTCCTGCCCTCAACTGCTTGTTCGACTCCTGCGTTGTGGCAAACCTTCCCTCGTGCCATGGCAGCAGTGCGGCTCATGGGGCATTGCTGTGAGCAGGATGAGGGAACTGATCCAGACAAAAGAAAAATACCCAAAAAAGTGGTTTTGTAGTCTGCTTCACATCACCTCTCTGCTGAACTGGCACTAGTGTGTAGAAATTGCATAAACCAATGCTTACCACTGGGAAAACGCTAGCCAGGTTTTCTCCACCCAAATTTTAATTTTTGTGCTCTCTTCTATTAATCCATTTGACCTTGAATAAAATTTAATGGACACTTACAAGATAAATAGATAACCTGGAGAAAAACCACACCCCTCAAAATAGGTGGCACCACATATAAGGATGACTTCCATTATCAAAATTGTGGGTTTAATGCCTTTGTCACTTCTACAGCTGAATTTCAACTATGTGCTGCGACTACAACAATCTGAAATGGTCAGCATCTGAAATACTGCTTTCTGAACAGCATCCAAAGTGTCAGCTGCATTAAGCAGTCATGGTATATCTGAACTGCAGCATTAGGTAAGAAATGAAAAATCACTAGGTTTTGATTAAATGTGACGAGACACGCAGACTGGGCATGCTGGGCTTTCTCCAAAACACTCTGTGGTGACCCAGATCAGATACAACGGTCAAAATGAAGAATATTCAAATAGACAGTGAGTGGGTCCTACAGAGATATGCAAATTGTGAGACCACAGTATGACACAGCTGGTCCTACAGCCTGTTCTGAAATTTTACAAGAAACCCCAGGTAAGGAATGATGGCCTACATCTGAATTCCTGAGCCAAAATAACCATTGTCTCCTGGAGGAATAAGATGTCAGTGAAAAGACAATGAGCTTAAAGGTAAATAATTTATGTTGACTGTTGTTATGAATAAGAAGTGCAGCAGAAAATGCTGTTTCAAATAATGCCTCCAAATTCTACCGGAGCAGCTGTCAGCAAAGGAAGCTGAGAATTTTGTAAAGTAACATTTGGCTAATCTTCACAGTGCTAAAAATCATCTTATCCAAGCCCTTTTACACCCCTGGAAAGGGTTGTCAAGGTTTGCAGGCCAGTGAGGCACTAATGCTGTCTCAAGGAGCACTGAAGGTTGCGAGAGGCACACTGGGAGTATTTCATCTTGAGGCCAAGAAAAGGCACTGGGGGGGGGGTGGGGGGTAGGAACTGTTTGTGCTTCTTGTTCTGCTGTGCTGGAGGTCTCCTCCACCTGGAAGCCCTCTGTTACCTGCTCTGACCTTGCTCCTCGCTAATGCAGATGGGTGAAACTGACTCAGATCTGAATTTGACTTATCTGTAAGGTAGCCTGAAGTGTAATAATAGACAAGAAAAAATTAAGAATATACTAGTCTCACATATCTTCTAATCAGGGGAATGTGACAATCTGGCATGGACACCATTTCTATAATGTTAAAGAGGTTGTTCTAATATTATTGCAAAAAATGCTGATTGGCACAAGTTGTTCACTACCCATAAAACTCTCACTATGAAACATAAAATTTTGAAAATGATGGAGAACTAAAAATTCATATTTTTATCTGGACAGATTAGAAGAAAACTGATACAGAAATTGTTTTCTATGGACTTGTAGATTTGAGTACTATCTTTATTTCTGCTCGAAACAAAAAATGTGTCCTCGCTAATGACAGAGGCAGAGTTGTGTAGAACACTACATCATGTTCACAGTGATTTTATGCCACAGGTCCACAGGGTGCTCATGAGGAAATAATTTCATTTTCCAACATCTTAGCTTCTCTCTTGAAGGGCAACTTTTATATTTCTTTAATTCTGAAAGAGGGAGGCAGACATAATTGTAACACCTTTATAAGGTGCATTGGTATCTAGTAGTTTCACAAGTCTAGAAAACACCTAGTAAGTGTATAAGCTGGGGTACACTTTATAACTCAAATTGAATTTTTTTTTTTTTTTTAAATTTCAGACACTTTAAGAAATGTCAAAAATGACCAGGCACGCTGCTAAATGCCTCTGGAGCCAAGGTCCCTAGAAGGAGCCACTATATGTTCATGGAAGTAATTGACGGCAAGAATTAATAATATCGGAGAAATATCGTTGGGGTATTGGCATAGTAGGAAGCATCAAGTAGTTCCTGGTCTTTGGCTGCAGTGTTCAGTAACAGCCTTATTAAATCTTTGCTGCAAGTACACGAATGATGGCATATCCTAAGTGAAAGGTGCAAAATACCATCTTGGTCATCACACACTTTTTCCAGCATGTATCAAAAAAATTGAAGACAAAAACCTGCCCTCGGCTCTAGATGATTGAGAATGAAAAGCAAGGAGAGCAGCATCATCCAGAGATATGCTGATACTCACTATAAACAGGGTCCTAAGATAAAGACATTGGAAAGCTGGAGGAGAGAGGAAAATTGATAATGGACCTGGAAATATTGACATATGAGGAAAATAAACTAAATATGTGATGCCAGTCTACATTTATTTGAAGAAACTGTTACAAAGACAGAGAACTGTGTACAGTAACTAATGGGGAGAAAGCACTGTGAGCCATGGGCTGAAATCAAGAAAATAAAAATAAAATTGATTAGCAGGAGAGACTCCTTCTTAAAGGTATCTATGAGCCTGAGGATTTGTCTAAACTACAACAGCTGGAATTCCACCGACCGTGATAGCTGAAGACAAAAAACAATACGGAGTCTACAAGATTTGTTGCTCCTGCAGTAGACTTTTCCTGATAAGTGTTTAAGGTTGTAGGATTCATGGAATGATAGCAAGTGATGCAGATTTAATTGATAAAAAGTAGGTGGGACTCAAGCATACATTCAGTATAAGGAGTACTTTGACTTGTAAGTATTCAAAGCACATCTTATATAGGCTTTTGTAGCCTCTAGAATGCAGCAAGAATATTATATAAAATTAATTTTTTTAATGAAATATTTTTAATTTCAGGTTCTGTTTTTTTCTTTTCAATGTGATGCATGATTCAATTTTTTTAATGCTCTCTTTAAAAAACATTTAGAAAGATAAATCTTAGAGACAAAACATTCAGACCTTTCTGAAAATAAGAACCTTCAGAAATTGTGCATATCTAGATTTGAGAATTTTCTACAAAAACAGAAACACTTCTCCAACTCTGACTGCTATACAATGAATTTGACAGAACTCAACATCCAGGAATAGCAAGAATAAAAAATTAATAAAAATGTGATAAAAATCCAAAGGTATTTCTAATACTGTTTTCTGACAGATTCATCATGCCTAGGTTGTATGTCATTGTTATATAACATATCAGGATTAAGGAAAAGAAATGTAAAATTATAGAGATACTCTTTAAAAACATAACCAAACTCCATAAACATCAAACATGAAATTGTATTTAATCCAGTTCTTTGAGGAAGGCAACTTTATATTTCAGAATTTAATGAATTACTAAGGAATAACAGTGTATAGCTTAATTCAAAAAGAGTATTATTTCAGAAGAAAGACATTTTATTTCTACTGGACCTTAGCATCCTTCTGCGTAGTTAAAGCCTTAAGTGTGGACAAAGCATTGCTGGATGTTACTGTGTGCAGTTACACTTACTGTACACTTGTAGTTGTCCTCTGAAGACATTTCTTCCACGAGAGTTTTCAGCTTTACATTCGTACATTCCTGCATCCTCTAGCTGCACGTTAGGTATTTCAAGCACAGCTTGTGATTTTCTCAGGCGGGCTTTACTTGGATTATGACCATTAACTTTCCTCCAAGAGATTGTTGGAACAGGGCTGAAATATTTAGTAAAATTACTGTTAGCAATTTTCCACTATTGAGAGTGTAGATTCTGTTATCTGGTAGCTTAAATACTTAATAATCTAAGTAGCAATAAAATATAACCACAATTAAGTTTCATACAATGCTTGATATACCTCACTTTCTGTAGGGAATCCTTAATAAATGCTTTGCTACATGGAATGTGTCTCTCATCCACAAGGGAGGACAAGTTTTTATTAGGATCAAGTAAATCACTTGAAATACTCCCTCCAGAGCTTCTTCAGCACTCTGTGCTTTACTCCTGAACACGTCCACTTGATAGGCAAAAGGAAATAATAACTTCAAAACCAAGATGAATTTAGCAAATTTCAACACATCCCAATTTTCTCGCAATGAAACTGCAGTTCAGAGATCAGTAAGTGATACCATCCATCTAGGTGGGGGATTTCAGTACCATTCTATCTTACATAAATTAAGGTGACCAAAGGTTTGGAGACTTTATCTGTTGCAATGTCCTTTAAGTTACAAAACCGGATGTATAAGAAGTATGTATTAATGCCACTACTGCTTCTGACTCACAGCATTACATGCCTGCTCGCAGAATTGGCTTGCTATTGCACACAGGTCTATGTGGAAATCGTGTCATTTACATTCATACTGAGGAAAGACATAGATTAGACAGTGTTTGCACTCATTCAAATCTCTTTTTAGCCCAAACACACATTAGTCGTTGTGAACCCATTGGGCTTTTTAGACATATATTTGTCTAAATATGACAGATACTTAAGGGGAAAGAAAAGAAAAAAAAGGAAATAAAAAAAAAAGAACAGTAGTTATAAAATATTTGATTGTGAGCTCAAAACTAGACTGCTTCACTTATTCCAAAAGAAAGGAGCTTGGAGGACATCTTAAAAGAAATGTAACTGTTACATGCTGATACCTTTTTTTTTTTTTAATTATTTATTTGAATTGCTGTCAGGTCTTAGTTTAGACATAGCACAGTTGGATCTTGTGGCAATTTTGATGGGGAAAAATACTTCATAGCATTAATTTCTGCTATCATTTTCTAATTTCCACTTGCTGTAACTATATGAGGTTGCATTAGAAAATCATCTTTCTCTCAGTATTTCAGGGTGTTCAGTCTGAGACAAAACAAATACAGACATAGAAACCAATGATCGATAAAGCTCTAGCTATTCTTCAGCCAGTTAAAATCAGTCTGTGAGCTACTACAATTGTACTCCAATTTCTAGACAAGATGCTCCAAATTCCAGTACTTTACAGAGATTCCAAAAAATCCCAGACTTGTAACTGAAGGTCAGAAGGTTTCTCTAATCTTATCTCCTGGATGTCAAAAGTCACTGAATTTCATTGAGCTTATTAACATAATTACCCTCAAAAAAACTACATACAGAATAATATCCACTATTTATTTGAGTGTATCAGGAAGGTTCAATCATTCTTTCCCTTAACAGTATGCTGCATTGATTAATTAACCTGACAGAAGATCCTTTATTTTGGGTGTGTGTGTGCATGCATCTCTGAGGCATAGGCCCTACAATACTTCTCAATTGTTGCAAAATGGTCAGAGGAAATACATGTATGGAAATCAGTTCAGCTTTTTGTTTTCCTCAGTGAACAAAAGAGACTCACATCTTTTTTTCTGCACTCCAATACTGCATAACTTTTTCTTTTTATGCATCATTGCGGATCATATAATAGGTGTGTATCATGTAAGTTCTTTTCGGTCCTACTATGTCACCATAGAATCTTGATAGTTGCTCATTATTAATCTTAAATATTTTTTTTATCTGACTGCTTTCAGATTTTGGTGTCCTGTAGCTGTGGTTTGAGGACTGTTATTGCAGCATGTATGGGTCTAATTGGTAAAGTTTGCTTCCTATTAGAAGTTATTTTATATGCTTTTCAGTTAGAAGGATTTTAAGAACTTCCCATTCCTATCTAACACAATCACTTACTCAGTTCAAAATAAAAAGAATAAAGAGGATATTTTTGTCTCTGATGCACTAATAAAACTGAATGGCTTTAGCCCTGCCACTTAGGATATTACCTCAACATCCTTAGGTACATATTTTAATTTGCTATATTTGATAGCTGTTTGTATATACTGGAAGTGGTACAAATAACAATACTAGTTTCTTTTCCCCCATTTACTAGCTCTCAGATTTTATTTTTAATTGCACAATTCACTTTCATATTCAAATTTATACTCTTTCTTGAGAGACTTTCTGGAGATCTTGTAACACTCCTGTTGTTTTGCATGCAGCTTTAAGTGTAAACTGATATTCTTGTACTCTTTCTATATGCAATATAAATATGTTACGATTTCTGGCTTCAAAACAGCTTCCATGACCAGGCAAGTATTTCATTAATGATTAGTAGTGACAACACAGATCTACTGTAGGAATACTTTATTCTGGTACAGTGCACTACTACTCAGCAACTGCTGTTTTATGAATGAGATGGGTGTGCAGGTGCAGTTTCTTTGGCACCATAAGGGGGCCATGCTTGTTGCTCATTGTTGCTGCTCATTTGCCCTTCAGCCCTACTTCCAGCAAAATCGTTGACAAAAATGTTTTTGGTCTGTTGTCACGAAAGGAAACTGGTTCTGCTGAACAGAACTGTGGATTTTTTTCATAGTGTGTATTTCTGAGAAACAATGAAGACATTCTAAACCATGAAAGTTGACTCATTTGACTTCTATGAGATTATTCTGAAATTCATGTATTTAAAAAATTTCCTTTAAATTAGTGGGGTTTTTTTTAATTTGCTTTCAGGCCTGCTATAGAAATAAAATGTGTTAACATGGCAAATACAAAGGAAACTTGTTCTCTGGGTCATTAAGAAATGTACTTTTAAAAACTCAATTTTTTCTTCATTAGTATGAGGTAGTAAGTGGAGTTTTTCAAGGGAATAAAGTTACTTTAGCTGTGTAGATTTAATGATTTCAAAGGAAAGTACTCCCAAACTGCAAATCACTATTCGCAGACAACTTGTAGTTCTGTTTAATGAAGCTTATTTTCCTTGCATAACTTACAAGAGAGGTATGAATTTTACATCTGAAATAAAATATATCTATACCTATTTCTCCTCTGTGACTTGTGGAAGAATGAAATGAAATATATCTGAGTGAGGATGTGAAAGAATAAAATTGTGTGACTGTTCTAGAAAACTCATAAAATCCACCATAAAAGCTAACTTGCATATGCACATATTTTCATCTTTTCAAATGATCCCCAGCTTTTAAAATATAGAGCAACAGCAGAAGTATCTCTAACATTAATATGAAGTTAATGTAATATGCATAATGGTTAAATCTTATAATCATTATAATCCATTTTTATTTTGGTCTCAGCAGACATCTGTGGGAATATAGCTTGCTTGCTTATTATAACTCTATTCACATTGAACTCCTATGAGTAACTTTATCCAAGTTTCTCTGCAGCTAAAAAATAAGATTTATCCCCACTTTTGGAAATAATCTGTTGAAAACTGCTTGTAAATTTTAGCATCACTGAGGAAAAATCCAACTTCATATCAGAAATACCATCATTAAATTACTTATTCATCTGAGCTTATTCATTCTGAGGTGACTGTCATAGATATTATTGTGGGTTTGTTCACTTTGAACTTGAAGATAATATGAGTTTTATATTTTCTCTTGAAAAGATTGTAAGAGTCAGTTTTCAGCAGTATTTTATTTGGGAAATGTACTATTGAATTTATTGAGAATTCACAAGTTTTACTGGAAATAAAAATGTTTTGAAAAAATTGTTAGAAGCAATTTTATACTCTTTTTTGTTTTCCAATTTCATCTGAAAAAGATTTTAATTAGATCAATAAAGCGTATGTTTACTTCAGGAAAGGGGTGAGGTAGAAATAAGAATAATGTCTGAATTTTAAAATACCTTCTCCATGGATCTGAGCTCCTAGTTTTTCAGCAACATCATAAATAGGAATGCATAGGTTACCTTTTCTATATTTGGTTGACACAAATTGATGTGCTGTTTTGAAATATTTTACCTTCTATGGTAATTTCAATTCCTCTCCACACTATTTCACTTTACCATACATCACTGTTCCGAGCTTTGCCTGCAAACCCACAGGTTCACATCATAATATATCTTGAAAACCTCTGCATGCCTGTGCATTTGAGAATAGGAAAAAACCTTTCTCCATATGCCCTCCAACTTTGCAACTGTGTTAAATGTCTTCTAATTATTACAGGATAATTATGTAGGATTAAAATGTCGTGGAGTATCATGAAATTCTTTCCATCAGACACTTCCCAGAAACACCCATCACCCATTCACACAATTCTACCTTCAGAATGTCCCATATAAATCTGTTCGGGTCAGATGCAGAGATTTAGGAGACAAGATAATAAATTTTCCTTTTATTTGGTTATTAAAAGATAGTACTCCTGAAATATACCAGCGGTAAGTACTGGTGATTGAGAACAGAAATAGAACAGAAGGAAATGGTGATGAGTTTGAAGCTTGTGTGCAGGAACAAGTCCAGGTCTGCAGTCACATCAGCACACACCCATGACTGGACTGGAAAGGTCTGATGCACGTATCAGTGTCATACACCTATGTGGACGTGCTTTCCCATGACTGCTGCCTTGTTCTTTATGGCAGCGAGCAAGGACAATCTATCTCCTCGGCTACATGAGCATCTCCACATCATTTTCTTCACACTTTAAGTCCTAACAAGTTAGGGCATCTCTAACATCTAAAATAGTGCTGTGGATAATGATTCATCATCAGTAATGATTCATTATTCATAGAGAATTATACTCCAGAGCTTTTTCTCTAGTGATTCATCAGAGCCTAAACTGTTAGCTCAAACTTGATCCATAACGGTTTGATAACTAAGGTTAGATAACTGAAACGTTCAGAGATTTTTCCAAATTCTTAAATTCAAATTCGTCATGGACAGGAGTCATCTGATTAAGGTGTAATCAAACAAGAGAACAGAAGATCCCCAGTAG